ACTCGCGTCTCGCTCGTGAATTGACTCTTGCGGAAAACGCGATTTGCGTTCCGCTCGTAACAGTGACTTTCGTCGATGCAACGAGCTCCTCGTTTCGAAAATTAATTCGCGAGTGCCGCTACGCGCGCCCCAATTCCAAACGTACCTCACGATGACCGAGGAAACCGAGAATCTGATGTTAGCGCAAGAGTACAAAATTGGTGCTCTCAAACGCGTGCTCATCAACTACAAGAAACTCCCGAAGGTGAGCGTGACGGTGCCGATGATCCAGAGCCGCATCTCCCAGCTGAGGGAGCTCTGGGCCGCATGTAGCAACCAACATGTCCTGCTGTTGCAGACCGCTACGTCCGGGGAGCTAAAGGGCCTGCCCTACTTCGTGGACAATGTCATCCTGGAAGCCGAGGACGTCTATACCAACACCAGCGACATTTTACAAAACGCGCTAAGTAGACTGTTACCCGCTAACACTAACTCTTCATTATCCGATAGTCACGACGAGTCTGTTTCGCAGGAGTCGGGTTCTCAGATCTCGCGATTGCCACGTATATCGTTGCCAAAATTTACCGGTAAAATCGCGGAATGGGAGAGTTTTCGAAATATGTTCGAGTCTCTCGTGGCCTGTAACGTTTCGCTTTCTAAAGTTCAGAAATTTCATTACTTAAAAACAAGCATTACCGGTGAAGCCGCGGTGCTGATCAATAACTTGAAAATTTCGGAGGCTAATTACGACTCCGCGTGGCAATTGCTGATCGACGAATACGACAACAAGCAAACCTTAGTTCATACGCATTTGCACGCGTTTGCTAGTCTACCTGTGATGAAAACGGAGAATGTGAACGACTTGCGAAAACTCCGCGATACGGTCTCATCGTCGTTAGCCGCGCTAAAGAATCTCGATTGTCCGGTAAATGAGTGGGACGATCTGCTCGTTTATCTTATTGCTCAAAAGTTTGGTCCTCGCACTCGCAGCGAATGGAATTTGAAACGTACGGAATTCGCCAAGCTTCCGTCTTACAAAGATATTAATGACTTTTTGACTCTACGCATTCGCGGATTATCCGATCTTTCCGACTCACCGAAGGATACTCGTCGTTACAAAGACGATAAACCGCGCTCGTCGGTTAATAACGTCACTGCAAACAAATGCGTTGGTTGCTACGGCAATCATTCGGTTTCGAAATGTAAAGAATTTCTTGATAAAACGGTTGAGCAGCGCGGCGATTTTGCGCGTCACAGCAGGCTTTGCCTCAATTGTCTGTGATCCGGGCATTTCCTTCAGCAATGCCCGAGCAAATCTCGATGTTCGCACTGTAGTCGTTCACATCACTCGTTGCTACATTTCTCAAATAATGTAAAAGCCGATGCTACGGCAAATTCTTCGAAGATAAAAGCGGAGGCGCAACCGTTCACTCCGACGGCGTCCAACGCGCCAGTCGCTGCGAGCAGCAATCATGTCGCGAACAAACGGACCGGTCCCCCCGCGGACACCGTTCCTTCGAATGTCCTCTTGGCAACAGCATGGTTTGACGTTCATACGACCGAAGGCCGAAGCTTTAAAGTTCGCGCCTTACTGGATCAAGGATCCACTTTCAGTTTTATCTCGCAATCGCTCTGTCAGACGTTGCGTACAAAGCGACAACGCTCAAATTTGCGAGTTACGTGTTTCGGCGAGAAATTTACAGGCATCGCGAGATCTCGCGTCGTGCTGACATTAAAGCCGCGTTCCAGTGCGGAACCGGGCTTCCCGCTGCACGCCTACGTGTTTCAAAATATTATTTCGTACGCCGCGTCGCGGACTCAGCTCGTCGAGTCGTGGCCTCACTTGCAAGGCATCTCATTTGCCGATCCCGATCCTTCAAGTCGACATCGGATTCACTTACTTTCGAGCAATGTCGACGTCGAGAGCGAGTGTTTGTGTGCCGATGACGACGGGAGTCTTTCGACACAGGAAAAAGGCCCTCGTCGTACTTGGTGTGTTACCCCCTGATTCGTCGCTCGTTGCTGGGCCGATGTTATCGGCGAATCGCGTTATTGCTTCCAAAATCAAAGCCGCGAGCCGTTCGAGTTCGCGCGACGAAAGTCGGTACGAATCTGGAGAGCGACGGGTCGAGAGGGCGTCCGAAGCGTCCGAGCGAACCCGGCGCAAAAATAAATCGTCTTAATTGTCGTTAACGGGGGAACCAGATCGAAGGCTCCCGCCGCCAGCAACAATGTGAAGGCTCGCGATTGCGGACAGAGGGAAAGTCTCAGAATGTTTAATTATAAACACGATTGTACATCCAATAAATTAAGAAACAAAAAGTGTGCAAATAAAAAGGAGGATTTGTAACGGTATCTGTTGTATTTTGTGCACGATACAATTGTTCCCCAAGTTAATGGGTTTAGGAGAAAATTAATGTTGTTCTGTTTGCTGTTGTTTATATCAGTATTTATTTATGGAGCCAACTTTTACACGTGTTTCTCTCATCACCGGGGTACAAAACACTCACGGGGTTTCGCTAGTTCCCAAAAAGAAAGCGGGTGACGCTAGAGCGGTTCGCCGTTGTACTACGTCCAACTCGTCGGGACGCCATGTTTTAATAGTGTCGATAAAGAAAATAAAAGGAAAAACTGCGCGTGCACGCTGGATAAACATATATAACTAACAGTATCCATTTGTAACTTTAGAACAAAGGACTACTATGTAGGTAATTGTAATGGTTTAATTAGTGGCTAAAGAAGCCTACAGTAGAGTCGAAACTAGTTCTATCTAATTTCGTAGTAATTCATAATAAAAATTAATATTTGCGAATGTTTTGTTGTTGTTCGGTTTTGGTTTAGTTTATATAGAATTATTTTGTTGAATTTTATAATATGAAAAGGTTATTTACTTAAATTAAAGAATTTTATAGCGCGCGCTTTATAAGTTTCAAATGTCTTGTAAAGTATGCATATAGCATATGAGAGAGGAGGGGATAGAGAGAGAAGGGGGAGAGAGGGAATGGAGGAAGTGAGGGAAAGGGGGGAGGAGGGAGAGAAAGGAAGAGAGAAAGACAGGGAGGGAGGTGGAGAGGGAGAGAGAAAGAGAGGGAGGGAGGGGAAGAGGCAGAGAAAAAGAGGGAGGGAGGAGGAATGAGAAAGAAGGAAAGAGAGGGAGGAAGGAGGGAGGGAGAGTGAGAGACGATTATCAATATATTTTATACTAATTTATAATTTTGTTGACATTGTTAACAACAATATTCCATATCACTTTTAAAATAAGTGATTTATTTATCAAGTAATTTGAATTTGTGACTCACAGGATGTCTCGCAAAGTGGCCTGCGCATCATCAATAACTTTCTTAAAGTCATTCGATCGATGACTTAACTCTAAAATGCTGATTTGCGTGTTTCCATATGCGAGTAACTCCTTCTGCACTTTTTTTAGAACCTGTAAATGATAAAGCAGTACCAATTAATCAATACGTCAATTAGTTCAACGAATGATCCGCATCTTTTTTTATTATTTTCTAATATTAACAATAAATTTCAAAACAAAGAATCGTTTTGATAGCACAATGAAGTAATTTTGAAGTAAAATACATTTATCTCACTATTATTTACAAGTGTGAAAATATATTATTTGTAGTAAAAACACGCAAAGAGACTTACCAGGTATGTAAATATGAAACCGAAATTTTTAAATAGAAAATATACGTTTATTGCATGAAAATGATAAAAAATATTTTATTCGAAGTATTGCCCATCGCTAGCTATACATTTTTCCCACCTGTCTGACAATTTGTGGATGCCACGCCAAAAAAATAGTTGCTCTTTTGAGCCAAGCCAGTCATCTAGCCATTTTCGTACATCTTCGTAAGAAGTGAAGCGCTGCTGAGCAAGTGCGTGTCCCATCGATGCAAATAAGTAGTAATCGGACGGAGCCAAGTCTGGTGAGTAAAGCCGCATGCGAAAGTCTTTCCCAACCAAACGCCTCAATCGTTTCCTTGACCAGTTTTGCTGTGTGTGATGGTGCATTATCATGAAGCAAAATCACTTTGTGTTGTCTTTTTTGATATTCCGGTCGTTTTTCACGCAAAGCTTGAATTCAAATTGATCATTTGTTGTCGGTAGCGTTCAGTATTAACGGTTTCGCCAGGTATTAACGGTTTTAGCAGCTCATAATAGATCACCTTTCTGATCTTGATGAAATCTGACCTTGATGAAATGGCGTCAATGACGCGGTCTGACGGCAACTATATTGACAGCTATGGCCATCTATTGGTAAATTCTGGTTTCATATTTACATACCTGGTATCTAACCGCATATCAATTGTGACACAGATTGACTTTGTAAATGACGGAAATTATCAATATTTCTCATTTTTAGAGACAGATTATATAAAATTACACAATCTAACACAATTTTGCATATACTTCTTCTAAAAAATGATTATAATTCACATACTGTATTGAGTTCTTGACTCACAAGATGTCACATATATACAGGGTGTCCCAAAACGGTCGGGACACCTTAATATCTCGGAAAATATACGTTTTACAGAAGTGTTTCAGACAAAAGTTGTAGCATCAAAAGATTTATATAGTAATCTTATTAGTTTGATCTTAGATGACGTCGCTAAAGTCAGGTCAAGGTCACATCGATTTTTTTTAAATGGAACACTTTTAATTCCACAATATCGATAGCTGGTGTCGAGAACTTTCAAAATATATATAAGGAAATTTTTTCAATTAACTATTTTTTTAGTTATGATGCTCGAAAGTTTTAGTACCGCCGGCATTAGCATTACGCAAGGTGTCCGACCGACGGGTAAAATCTCTTGTGTGTTGTTCAGGATCATGTCCTGGATGACATTTGTTAAGATCAATGTCATTGGAGATTGTTTTTCTTATTTACATCTCCGCACTAAAAATTCATTTTTATGTAAAAATGGAAATAAGAAAAACAATCTCTAATGACCTTGATCTTAACTCTAGCACGCCATTGTTATTTTTGGTTACCATCCCGGTTACAACAGGGTCTGTGAAACCTTCCAACTTTGTCACTCTGTATCTCTGGACTGAATACGTATTTTTTAGCTCAAAACATGTGAAATTTATACCTCGAAGTCAGACAGAGACATATAAATATGAATCAAATAAATAATATTTTCAATTAAATACAATGCTTCAAAGAAATTTTATTGAAAATATTCGCAAAAAATGACCACTTTAGATAAAAAATTCTCAAATTTTTTAATTTAATGTTCAAGCAAGAACCCGTAGGATTTTTTTAGTTGACCCTTTGAATTAACAAAAAAAATAGTATGATATGAATCGTTCAAAAAAATATAATTATTTGAACTATTGAAAATCGATATTTAAAAAAAATCTATATATTATAAGTTTATACTTAATAAATAAAATTTTATTCTTTGGACATATAAAATGGTAGATAAATGATTGTACATCTATAAATATTATTATAGTATATATAATTAAATTTATTAGCACTTAGTTTAGAGGATGATGCAACACTCGCTCTAAAGCAATCCGTTCCGGCCAAGCGATCTCCGAAGACTGATAGAGATTATAAAATTTCGACTATTTATTATATTGAAATAATTTTTTTTAATTCTACATTTTCGTGTACTTACTTTTATACTATCCGAAACTCAGTAAACATATATTTAATAAAAAAAAGGGGGTAACCAGAACGCCGAAAACTTAAAAGCTAATCACGTGTGAGTCCCAAATACCCTTTTTGAACTTTCATGCATTTACATCGAAAATAACTAAGACAAAAATACCCTTGCATGCTTATCATATCTATGAATAGTTAAAGTTTTTTTTTAGCCTCAATCCGGGTCTTCAAATTATATTATAAAAGAGTTACAGCAACGTGAAAAATCGCATAGGTTGGACCCAAGAATGGTTGGCTAAAGTTAACATAGGTTATCTAGGACATGATCTTAAAAAACATTTAAGAGGTATTTAGCCGTTAGTCGGACAACTTAATGCTAATGACGGCGGTACTGTAACTTTCAGGGCTTATGACTCGGAAAATACTTTATGAAAAATAACTTGTAATGAATCAAATATAAGTAATCACAAGGGCTATGAGCCAATTAAAATTAATAACATTTAATATTTGAAACTAAATTCGTAAAAAGTACAAACGTTTCGACGCCGATCGGGTCATTCTCAATGTTAAAATAATGTTACAATAAAAGTCGGATGCAAATTAGCCTATTCTATTTCGAATTCGCTCAAAAATTTCATAAAAAAAGGAAAAGATAGGTTGGATGGATTATGCAATCAAAATGTGGTCTATAAGATTTTTTGTGATAATTGTGATGCTAGTTACGTGGGTCAAACAAAAAGACAACTATAGACAAAACTACAGGAACATATTTTCAATATTAATAGAAATTCTAAATCGCCATCAGAGGGTGATTTTCAACCACCGCATTGATCATAATCACAATTTTAAGTGGGATAACGTGGAAATTTTGGACATTGAATCCTCTTATAACAAGAGATTAATATCGGAAATGGTCCGTATAAAAAGATAGAAACACGGAATTAACAAGCAAAATGATACTAAATCTCTGCCGAAAATATATTCTAACATTATACATTCCCTTTCCCCTTCGTAATACTTTTCTCCTTTCCCCTTCCACCTATTACTGTCTCCGTATCTATTTGTCTCCTTTTTAACTCATAACGTTGTCTGATATTGTCGATGCTACACGTTGCTCTGTCTCTGATACAACACAATGGCTTATAAAATTACAATATCCATTGCATTACTCTTTTAATTTTTGACTCACAATAGTTCGGCTAAAGAAGGAATATATAGTTTAGTTTTAATATGCACTGATTTATTGATATGTTAATGTTTAATTTGTAATCGATATTAATGTTAACAAAACTGTAACGGTTATTTTATATATTATACATTTAAATTTCTTCTTCTGTTTGTCTACTTTTAATTACTGTTAGTTGTTTTTTTTAGACACTGTAATTATTTATTAATTGTATATTCTGTACTTAACAACTGGTTTCTTTGAAAACTTTCTTTTGAATAGATTGCTTTTCATAGAAGAAAAATGTGAGTTTCACTAGCGTTCCAATTATATTGAGCGATTTCAACGTCTCACATTTAATATTTCAATGGATCACATATTCGTAACAAAGAAGGAAGACATAAGCATTTGACATGTATTTACATTTTTTAAATCTACTTCATAACGTACAGAATACTGTTTTTGTAATATAAGAATCCGACTTTTATCGTAACATTATTTTAACATTGAGAATGACCCGATCGGCGTCGAAACGTTTGTACTTTTTACTAATTTAGTTTTAAATATTAAATGTTATTAATTTTAATTGGCTCGTAGCTCTTGTGATTACTTATATTTCATTTATTCCAATTAAGCTCTATTCTATTAATCTATATTTAATTATAGTGTTTTGGAAAGCTCTCGACAACAGCTATTAGATTCTGGAATAAAAAACAGTATGCTAAATTTTAAAAAATTGTGACCTTGACTTGACCTTGGCGACACTACCCAAGCTATCAAACTGATAAAATCAGTAAATAGATCTCTTTGAATCCTACAACTTTTGTCTGAAACACTTTTCCGTAAAACTTACAAATCTTACTTTTTTAAAAAAGATGAGAAAAGGCGCTAAGAATGCGTATTCTTTGGAAAAAAATGTATACTAAATAGAATAATTCATATGCTGTAATATAAGAAGACGTTAAACACTACAAAATGCATGATATCAGTATAAATTTACCGTTTTAAAAAAAGGTAAAAAAGCGCTGTAAATACATATAGGTGTCAACTGTCAATCAACTACAGATATACGTCAAACAAAGAAAATGGTATACCAAATTAAGAATTACAACTTAAATAATAGTATCTCTAATTAAAAAAAATAAAATCTAGATAAAAATAAAACATAGGTAGTACGTATTTTTGTATATTTGCCACCAAGTTAAAATCCCATAAAAAATTCTACTTAATTTGAATGATACGTATCAGGTATATAAAGGATTTGATAGCAAAAAAAATAATTGGCGCTAAATTATAATGTTTAAAAATTGTTACCTCACTCTCAATCCAAACCATATATGAACCTTGAACAAAACTCTGTTGTATAAAATTAAAATATGAAATCCAAATTTCAAGTGAATTATTTTCATTAATTTATGGTAAAAACTAGTGCTCGGAAACATCAGACGATTTGACAGTTCGAACAGTTCGAATCTCAAGTTCAAACGTTAAATAGTTCGGACTGAATGTATGTTCGAACTATTTTAATTCACTTCAGAGCTAAAAGTTCGAATTTATTACTCTTCGAACTCAGACATCACAAGTCGTGATCAACCTGAATATGTCCAGGATGGCTCAGGATATCAATGTTGTAGGACAATATCAATAAATATAGGAATTTTATTTA